TTCCTGCTGTTTATATCATTTCCTTTTCAATGTGTTTTAGCCAGCAGTCTCTTCTGTCTGCCTTCATTTTTCATAACTAAACAAGCCAAGATATTTTAGTCTCCTTCATTATGATAGACTCTGCGTTTCCACAATCACCCTAGAACAAGGGCACTAATACTTCCTCTTCTCTATTGGAAGTAACTCACTTGACACATCCTAAGATTGCATTTGCCTTCTTTAAACCCTCATTACATGGGTGGCTCAGTCATCATCATCATGCTATTAGCTAAAATGTCCAGGTCTTTTTTCTCCTCCAACCGATAAGCCCTTAGTTTACAGCATAAATTCTCATGACTAATCCCCAAGTATATGACTGCATTTTGACCTATTGCATTTCATTCTATTGCCATTACTTTTGTCCCCAAAGTCATCCAGTTTTTCCTGTATGCTTCCAATTGTGTGTCATATGAAAATTCAATCAACCAAGCCATACTTTTTGTGCAAATGTAAAAAATGAAAACATTAAACAACATTTGTTCCAAAACCAGTCCTTGTGGAACTGCGGTATTAACATGCCTCAAACCTACTAGCCTTCCTTTTGAGCACTCCCCACTTCCTCCAACACTGGGGGTACTAAAATACATCTTCCTTATTTGAATTAATAAACACCCATGTGGCACCCATATCAAATGCTTTACTGAAGGGCAGATAGATTATTTTTACTGCATCTTCCTTATTTAGAAACTAATCTCTTTCATTAATAAAAATAGATGATACATTAGTCTGGCACAATAAAACTTTGCTAAACCCATGTTACAATTCATCCTGTATTCTTTCTAACTCCTGGACTTTAATATTTTTTTTCATTCAAAATTCCTTCCAAAGTTTCAATACTGCTGAGGTCAGAATAACAGGCCTACAGTTGCCTAAATCTCTTTATTTCAACCTTCTTAAATATAGAAACAACATTTGCAGTTCTCCAACTATATGGCTGCCCTCCAACTCCAACTTCTTAAAGTACTTCCTATTGCACTGGAAAGTCCGTGTTTCCTTAGTTCTTTCAGAATTTGGGGGTGCTGATTATCTAGGCCCTCACTTGACTGCATTACATCTTTGACTTTTGCTTCTCCCTCAACTATGGTAATTTCCATTTATATGCCCTGTCATTTGCTTCCATGTTCAGTATCATCATACCAATTAAAAACTGAGACAAAGTAGTCTTTTAGTTTTGGGCCATGCCTAGATTATCTTTAATCTCTACCCCATCTTCACTGCCACTTAAATACTTAATGCTCCTTACATATTACCATAAGTAGCTAAGAGCTGGCTACTGACAACACAGCATTTTTGTGTGAGATAAGAAGACAAAGTCAGTGGTACCCTTTGAGAATGGTTCACTCAGGAAGATGAAAATTTCTGTTTCTCTTTCCCACTTATTCACAAACTACCAGTAAGATAAAGCCTAGCAGTAGGAGAGGTCTCACCTGAATGAAAACTGTAAAGAATATCACCACAATAACAGAAGTGATGAACAATTTCTTTCTAGGAAACACAGCAGCAGGGAGCAGAAATACAAGAGAAAAACAGATGGCTCCTCGGAGACCTCCATAAGCAATGATAAACTGGTCCTTGAATGTTAGGGGAATTGTCCGGAACATGTTAATAATCTGAGTCAAAACAAAAACACCTGAGAAAAAGATGAAGACACGTAAAAAGCAAAAATAAAGCAATATAGAAATCCTCCTCAGTGTTGATGTTTATTTAAAAATCACACGTTAAAATTATTTCTTAAAGAGAAGGAAACTTCTATTTAGCAAAGTAAGAAATTTTAGTTTAAAGCAATTGATAACGATTTTCAAAAGTAGTTCTAAGGATGTGGGCCTTAGGTATTTCAAAAATTGCCTGTAATGGGAGTTAGCTGCCAAAATAACTTTAAGGCTCTTAAATGCCTCGGGAACTTTCAAAAATCCCACTAGAAACATATTTACATCTATAGGTACATGTTTGCATAAAGGACAACGTGTCTCAATACTTTAAAAAACAGAACTTTAGATGCTTTTTCAAAATTTTACCTAGGCTCAAATCCTGCAAACATATATTTACCTCTACTTACATGAGTAAGCCCATTGAAGTCAATAGGAAATGCATGTTATTAAAGATTAGCACGTGCATGAAACTGGTGTAGGACTGGGGCCTACAGCAGTCCTGTGTATTGAAAGGAGGTTGTACCACCGGCACAGAAGCCAAGAATATTCTTGAAAGGATTTGTTTCCTCTCAACACACAGAATATAAACCCTACTTTTCTAAAAAGCCCAAGAAATTCAGAATATAGGAAACAAACATTTACTTGCAATACCCTTAATAACATTTATGACAATAACTAACAAATAAACATTAAAAATGGATACGTTTTATGCTGCAGAAGTGTTAATTATTTTGGCAGATTCTTTCACTTCTGTTGTTTCTGTTTAAACATAGCTGTACCTTCAGCTAAAGTGCTCATGACAAATATGTAATTTTATTTTCCCTGCGGCTATAAAAATGTAGAGGCTCACACTAACTTAATGGGAGCAGGATAAAGATCAAAGAAAACTCTGGGACTGACATTAATAAAAGCTGACTAAACTCTTTGAAATCATGGATACCTAAACGTAAAGAGACCATTGTGCAAGTGACTAATTCAGCTTCATTAAAATCCCTAAAGCTTTGATCTGAAGTCACATGCCAATTGTAGAGTAAGATGTTATTATAGTCTCCAATATAAAGACAAGAGATTCATCATTTAGTCTTCAAACAGAGATTCACTATTTCTTTTTTAAAGTGCCCGTTCCCCAAAAGATTTGTGTTTTACTTTCTCAAGTACAAATCTCAGACTCTCTCACCCAGTGCACGCCAGATCAAACAGAAGAGAAGAGTAAAGCAGACAAAGGCCCAGTTCCATTCATGGTTTTTTCCAACAGTAGACACTCCCATGAATATAAAGATCAGAGTCTCACTGACACTGCTCAGCATCTTCATGAAATACTTTATGGTTGTAAAGGACTTCTGGGAAACATTCTCCTCCACATATTTATTCATGGTCATGGCACAAGCTGTTATCCTGCAAGGTAAACATTATCCTTTATTGTATGTATTCCAAATCCATTCATCTCAGAAGAACAGCACTAAAATGGTCAGCTAATAAGCATTCCCACTTTACTACCATTCTCAGCTTAAATAAACAACATAATTGTTCTGATCACTACTGCATTTTACATTTTAATATACATGTATTCATAGTTTTTTTCAGAGGGGTGGGCTTTCTGAAAAAGTATTGGTACCATTTTGCAGAGGTCACTGAAAACTTATATTCTGCACTTTCCAAGAAAACAGCTGAAAAAAGTACAAAGCAAAACATTACACCTGCCCTTCTGCATACCTGAATTCTGATTCCAGCTCTAAGGGCTGCCAAGAATGCGCAAGTCATGGTGCCAGAAAGCGAGAAAGCAAGAGGAAGCCAGACGGTGGCTGTGTGACGAGGACACTCCCCCGAGAGGAAGGAGTCCCGAGTTCCAAGCCTAGATTTCAGATGGTCCTGTCCATTCAGCTTTCTGTATGTTGGCCAACCTTGCTTTTAGTTGCTTGGTACCCACATCATAACAGGATACTGCAACCAACTTATATGCAGTGCATCTAAAAGGACCTTGAGATAATGCTTTTAAGATCTATTGTCCATGCTATAATTTTCTTCAGATCCTGGAAAACAACACTGTCTTCTCTGGATGAGAAAGACCAGCAGTCAGATGTTTTTTAAGAATCTGGATCCCACTAGGGCTCCTTTGTACAGCCAGAGGCTTGAAGTCCTGTAGCTAATGAATCTTACCACGAGGGAACAGACCTGCTCTTTGCCCCTGCTCCCTCCCCTACACACATAGGCATGATGGAAGCTGGAGGTGGCAGGCTGAAGCACAATGTATCCCACTGGTCCTTGGCTAGTCAAACAGTCCTAAGGAGAATGCAGCTTGATAAGCTACACTGGAAAAGGAGTAGAGTTGCAAGAAGGATACACTGGGGGTGGTACAGAGGGCTTAGAAATGCAAGGAGCTAGGGTGCTAACAACAAAAGCACGGTCTCAAAATAAGATACTGGCCTCTTGGCCGAGTAAGTAATCTCTTTCCTATGATTTTGTTGTTAAAAAAACAAACAATAACAAAAACAGATGCATTTGTGCAGTCATTTGATTGATTCAGCATCTCCTAGGACTGTCCTGTTCCCTAGCAAGCCCACAAAAAGTGAAAAGTAGGATTAGGTCATACTCAGCCCTCATCTGTTCTAAACAGCTGAAAATTATGCCCAGTACCACCTGAATGTCTTCTCAGGTGAGTTAAATGGATTTGGAAAAAGACTGGAAATTAGATACTGTTCTCAACCCTATAATTGCAGGGTCTCTGGGAAGGAGAGCTTGTTGTAGCTCCCTGGAAATGGACAGAAACAAAATATAGTGAAGAGACAGGAAATAACAAATTTTCCTCCTCTCCATCTCTTGAAATATGCAGTACTACAAATATTAAAATGATCTTTGTCTTCCTAAATGAGTTGTATACAAGGCAATATAACCTGCAAATGAGAGAGTACGCCTATTTTTCCCAATTTTGTTTTACAGTTTTTTTTCCACCTACTGTGAAACTGTACTTATCTGTACTTCCCTCATTCTTTCATCTCAGGTTGTTGACTTTTGCCATATTTAAACCAGGCAAAGAATAAATAGCTGATTACAATAGCACTGCATCTAGCACACGATTGAGTAATAAAAGTCCTCCTGCAAAAACAGTGAAGTTTCTGTTGTGACTGGAATAAACTAGACCACTGGACTGAGTTCTCAAGTTTCTTTGACCTACTAAATTTACAGTAATTTCAATGTTTATTTCTTTCAGCTCATTCATTTGCAACTGCAAAAAATAAAAATAAAAAAAGCAACACACATTTCACAATACAAGGTGCAACTTTAGAATTAAAAATACAGCCAAGCTAAAAAGTTCAGATCCCTCCATTTTTCAGGCTCATGATTCTGATTTAAGTCCAGATCTAATTACAGCAAAATCCATTTCCTGTCCTTCAGAAGGGGACATTCTCATTAGGGCAGCTTAGGGTATGACTAGTCCTGCTATTTATGAGTTGCCTCCCCAGGGAGGATAAATAGCTGTTTTAAGAGTCACTCATCCCCATGAGTATGTTGTATTACAGGAAGAGGGTACAGGGTCAGCTCTAAATTGGTAAATCAGGTGCCTAAATGGGACTTAGGCACCTAAATTTTGCCTAGGTCACAAAAAACTGACTCAGAATAACCCTGCTCCAGGGGCTACAAAACCATTAGGTGTTTAAGTTCAATGAGCACTTATATTTTGGCTGAAAAAAAGCACTAAACACCTAAATGTAGACTTTCAAACATGTGCAAAACTCATCTCCATCTGAACTTGGGCTGTGATTTAGAAGCCAAGCCTAAACTCTATCTATACTCCCAGAATGGATAGATCAATTAGGTGTGCCCTGAGCACATCCAACTCGCACCATCACTACTACATCCAGCACAAAGCATAATATCCATAGTCACTTTCACTCAAAATAGGGGTGGTAGCTCCACAGCCACTAACTATTATAGAAAAAATAAATCTAGTATGTGAACTTGTTCGTAAGTGGGAGCCCTGGTTGACAGGCTAAGCTTGGTCTGGAGGGACTCAAAACCACATCTTTCACCTCTCAAGACTATCCTAACCACCAAACTATAGAAGAGTCAAGTGGGTGATTCTTGCATTCCTTTCTCCATATTGATACAGCTTCAGTAGGAGGGGTGATCCATGTGATCATTTGATAAGACACACAAACAACCCTGGGTGCTAAGACAAGAAACAGGAACACCTTTCTGCTAAATTAATGTCTTTATCCCCAGCTTACAGATTCAGGTTCCCTATTTGCTGTCTTTCTGGCCCTGTTTTGTACATTCTTTGACGCACACTTTCTCAGCTTCAAGAGAAAGAGTAGAGGGTACCCCCAACCCACTGATTGTATAGCCTGATGGGTTTGAATCCCCTCAGGTTGAGGAAACCCTGGAACTTGTTGGGTAATCTAAACAATGAAACATCAAGTGAAAGTAGCTACCAACACCCCAGAGGTCTGCATCTCCAGTCAACACTTTATCCAGTGCTCAAAGAGGAGCAGTTTTGCTACATGTGTATCACTCCTGGCTCATCCAAATGTAACAATTAGAATGTAACAGCTGCTGCCCTTTTGAAATATTCCCCTTCTGTAATGGCTCCAAATGTATTTGTGTCTATACCCATAGATACTAGGGCTGTGCAAAGCTTCAGTCCCTGATTCGATTCAGCGGAGATTTGGCCCAATTAAGTAGCTGAATCTCCGAATCCAAATTGAATCAGAGGACCCTTTAATCTCTCCGAATCGATTCAGAACCCTACGAATCGATTTCGAGAAATTCAGACAGATTCAGCGATTCGGACATAGATACAACTTTAAATGTTTTTTCTACATACCTCTAGATAGCAGAGGCTCTGAATGCTGCAGTGCTGGGGCAGATGCAGTGTTCCACAGAAATACGGGAAGCTCCCCAGAGACTTGGCAGCAGACCAGAAAGTGGACCAGAAGCACATCCAGGCCCACTGGGGAATGTACTGGGGGACTCCCCATACCCCCCGGCTTGGTGACTGGTGCCTCCTGGGTCTGGAGGGGCACCCAGGATCCCCCTGCAGCTGATTGCTGAGCCATAGGGGCATGGGGGGTGGGGAGGAAGGGGGCAGGCCCACCGCACTCCCCAGCAGACTCAGAAGTGGATCAGAAGTAATTCCAGTCCACTTCCAGGTTTGCTGCCGAGCATGCTAGAGAGCTGCTGTGGGACTCTCCATCTGTCCCAGCATCGCAGCATTCACGAGCTGCACACAAGTAAAAGGGAAATGGTGCATATATCTTGATTGTTTGATAATACTACATTTTCTTTTCCTGTAATCTATTGGAATCATGACTTTTAAATGTCTAACTTTTCTTCCATCCAGGTAAATGAGCCAAGTTTCAGAAATTCAGAACTGAGAACTGCCTAGGATATATGGAAACCCATGTTTCAGAAAATAAAAAAGAAATAATTTTCTTGAAAGTAATCCCTGAATTCTGTTGGAGAGAAAATGTCATTGTCAGCAATTGCATAAATCCTTTTACTTCCACTGGTACAGTGGTTACACTGGTTTGCTTGCATCCTATGCAAGTCTCATTTATTGTTCAGACAGGTTGCTCACCTTTTCTCAGGCTGCAAGAATCCAAGATTTTTACACCAATGACATTACAAACTCCTCATTTTCTAGTCAGTTCTCACTTTTCCAAATAATACCTTTTAAAACTGTTTAATATCATATTTTCTCACATACAATATGCTCCAGAATATAATACACACCTTGTTTTTGAATGGCAGAGTTATGGCTGCATAGAGCAAGGATGGAGCCTAGTCTTAGACTGGCTCACCTTTCCTGATTAACTAAAACTGAAACCCAAACCATTGCTGAAGACTGGTGGCTCTACAATTTTAAAGTGAGACTCCAACTCTATGAAATGCTAGAAAAGAGACAGAGAGCAGGTAGGAGACAGCAAAATTCCCTTAAAAAAGGTTAACTTAATTAGTGGAACATCCTGGCCATCAAATGGGGGGGGGGGGGGCGGTGATCATAAACACCTCTGGAGTGAAGAACAATGAGCTATTAAGTCAACTAACTTCCTCAGTTGCCTGAATAGCAATGCAACAGCTGCTGCACTTGTGGAGCAGGAATCAAAGCAGGGTGCTTTTATCCTAGTCAGGAAATAAGCTTCCCCTGCTAAATACATGCCCTAATTTTGGCAGGTGATTTTTGGAAGAAAGGTACATTTCATATGTTTCATAGATTTCATAGACATTAAGGCTGGAAGGGACCTTGAAGATCATCAAGTCCAGCCCTCTGCCCCCAGGGCAAGAAGTCAGCTAGGGTCAAAGGATCCCAGCAAGATAAGCTTTCAAACGTTTCTTGAAAGAGTCCAGAGTAGGTGCTAGCACCTCTGGAGGGAGTCCATTCTAGGCCTTGGGGGCTCAGACCATAAAGAAGTTTTTCTGTATGTCCAGCCTAAAATGGTCACAGAGGAGTTTATGACTGTTGGCCCTTATTATCTCTTGGGGCACTCTGGTGAACAGAACTTTCCCCCAGATCCTGATGCGCACCCCTTACGTACTTATAGGCAGCCACCAGGTAACCCCTGAGCCTGTGCTTTTCCCGGCTGAAGAGTCCCATGGCTCTCAGCCTCTCATCATAAGGCCTGTTCTCTTGCCCTCTGATAATGCATGTGGCTCTCCTCTGGACTCTCTCAAGCTTCTCCACATCTTTCTTGAATTGTGGAGCCCAGAATTGGATGCACTATTCCATCTGCAACCTCACCAAGGCCGAGTACAGTGGGAGGATGACATCCCGAGATTTACCTGAGAAGCATCTATAGATGCAAGCCAAAGTTTTGTTTGCTTTACCAGCTGCGACATCACATTGGTGGCTCGTGTTCATCTTGTGGACAGTCATAACCCCCAAGTCTCTTTCAGCCGTGGTGCTAGCAAGTGTAGCACTGCCAAGCCTATAAGCGTGCTGTGGGGTTCCCCCCCCTCCACCCCCCAACAGCGGAGTACCTTTCATTTTTCTGTATTGAAGGACATCAGGTTTATATCTGCCCACTTACTAAGCTTATCCAAGTCAACCTGGATCACTAGCCTATCCTCAGGTGTGGACACTATGACACTAAACTTTGGGGCATCGGCAAACTTGGCCAGTGTGCTTCTGACACCGATGTTTATAAAGATATGAGAATATATGGCACTTTGTAACGTTTATCTGGACAATAACCAGACATGGTAAAAAGGTGACCTAGGTTTACGCTTTATGCAAAGGTATAAAGCTTTCTTTATGGTAAAAGGTGACCCAGGTTTATGCTTTCTTTCAAGTACTACACTGCACTGCTCCAATTCAGCACAGACTATAGGTCCAAGACCTGCAATGGGACTGAATCCATAACTCTCCAACATTTAGTGAACTCTGTTTGAGATGACAAAATAGATCAGGAATGAACATCAAAACCTGCCTTTAAAGTTTTGTTTTCAATACAGTAAATCACGTAGTTTGTATTAAAAGGGTAGAATGAGCATCTGCCTCTGCCCAAACTCTGGAGCACTACTTGGCTGCACTGGACCTAAGATAATCTATATGGAGAGATAACAGGCACACAATGCCTACCTAACACTTGCCCAGTCAGGTTCAAGGTCTGAATAGATCATGCAGGCAAAAGAAATGGGATAGGGAGAGAGGAGAGCATTCCAGACCCTTCCCTCTCCCATCGGTGGTCATCATGACCCAGAGGTTGAGCTATAAATGATCACATTAAATTTATTCCAGGAAATGCCCAAGTATAATATTGGCACAGCATGACACAGAGATGCATATTTTTCTTTAGTTCACAATCTAATAAGAAGTATTACAAATATAAGCTTGGAGTAAAAATGCACACAAGACACGTGGAAAGATAAATTTTTAGTGGGGGTAGAGGATAAAAGCTTAGTGTTTTTCTTCATTTCTTCAGAGCCAAAGTGGAGCCTATTGCATCTTGACCCTAGGACTGTCAAGAGCAAAAAGTATGAGGTATACACATTTCCGTATTTTCATTATTATTTTGCACCGAGGTACAGGTCCCAGTTACACTACAGTAGCCCTAGTATCATCTGTTGATTTTACATTAGGCTCAGTGTCCAATGCAATATTTTTATACAAACAACTATTATTCCCTGTAGAGTTTAACCAGTACTTTTTGGTTTAGAAGCCCTTTAAGTATATAATTAATCATAAGTCACCAGTGACATTTGACTAAGGACAGGAGGAAACTGGAGAACACATAGATGCTATGAATAGCAGCAAAGGGAAAGGATGGGACATTGCAGAGCTGGGTCAAACTGGATTCATGTGTTACTTTATTTAGGTTCATGCCACAGAAAGAAGCCTGTGTAACCCTTAACTCCTTATTTCTATTAAAATACCTTCCACTACTTATTTTGTAGTATGCTTCTGTTCTCATATAACTTAAGTCAGAGGTATCAAACTCATCCTGTAGGGAGGTCCAAATCTGGATCACAGGGCTCCTATCCTGAACCATGAGGAAGTAGCAGCACCAGCTCTGAACCAGAATATATGGAGGTAGCTCCAGCCCCTGCCATGCTGTGGTAGCAGTTCTGGCTCCAGCACAGGGCATGTGATAAAAGCCTATAGCTGGGGCAGTACTACAATAGTGGGGCAGGTGAAGCAGGCAGAGGGCAATTGGCATGGTATCAGCTCTCACTCCCCCTCCAGCTGCCAACTGCCATGTCTACTGGTGCCTGGGGACCCTAAAGTCTGTAGCTGATCATAGGGGCGGTGGTGTTTGCCACAACCGACACTATGCCCCCTAACTTCTAGTGGCCTTCTGGTAGCCCAAGGGACTGGAGAGAACAGGAGAGAGTTTGGTTTGGTAACCTTAACGTAAATAATTAGGAGTGTTTTTCCAATTATATTATGTCTGTGATCTGGAGGAAATTAAATTGACATGCCAGCAATACAAAGTAAGCAGTTTTGTCTTCAATCAGATGATAAAAGTATTCTAAGTTATTAAAAGAGGTTTCAGCAAGTGTGAGAGAGAGATCAACAAGCAACTTCTGGAATCTAAGTTAATACTTCTAAATCCTAACTGCATCATATTTGCCACTAGAACAATGCAAAGATATTAAGGAAGGTTGAGGTTGCCCTATATAATTGTTTGGAATCAAAATAAGCCGTCTAAATATACTGGCATGCCATGGCTGTCTTTTCTAAAACTAAGATAATGCATAGAACACAGATTTTGTTTTTCTAACTGAAGGATTTCAGTTGAATACAATCATACTGTTATGAAAAGTAACAGGAAAAAATATTATTTTACATGCAACTAAATTATGTATATATACCACATAGAGTATGTACACACACAGTACAAACACATATCCCAAAACAGATATACACAGACCTATTCACCAAAAGTCAAACTGAGATGTTTGCTTTAGGGCTAGATTCTGCAGCATATAAAACAATTTGATGGCTCTGGGCTGGCCCACAACAGATCCCAACACTCAGCTGAGTGTCAGGAGCCAGCCTGAGGCAGCCCCAAGGTCCATGACATAGATGTCCCCTACCCCATTGGGCTGGGGGCAGAACCAGTTCTTGGACCCAAGACCCATCTCCCACAGGCAGACAGAGGGTCATGGCGGGGAGATGCAGTGTGCCTGACATCAGGGGGTGTCTCCCTGATCTTGGGCTCTCTACACCCCAGACATCTGAAAACCATGTGTGCAGCTGAACTATGTTCATGGTTTTCTGACATCTCCAGCACCCAGAGACCCAAGGATCAAGGAGCTCTCTTCAATCCCAAGATCCCCATGCACTGAGAATGTCAGAAAACAGTATACACAGTTTTTAAAGATCCCAGGTAATGGGACATGGGATCAGGGAGAAGCTCCCAGATCCTTGGGTCCCTGTGCATAGGGACCTAAAAGTACCAGGTGTGCAGTCCCGATAGGCTGCATTCACAGCTTTTACTTATGCCAGCACTTCAGGAGCCTGGGATCAGGACCTGTAAGAACCATATGTTCAGCCCAGCTAGGCGGCACACCTGGTTTTTAATCATACTGGTGCATGGGAATCCTGGGATTTGGTTTCTTCAGGGGTTCCTGTGCTCCAAGACCTGTAAAATCTGTGTGCAGCTCAGCTAGGGTTTTAACAGTCGGCTGACTGTCAGCTGGGGAAAGTGACTGCATTTGGGTCAGTTCCAGATCTCAGTGCAATCCCAGCTGACAATCAGCTGGTTGTCAGGCACCCAGTTTTTAAATTGTGAGTGCAGGGGGAACCTGCATTCATTATCCCAGCTCCCTCTGCACTGACAAGTAAGGTGTAACTGGGATCTAACCCCAATTCAACCGTGCATCCTGCCAAGCATGCATGGCATGGCAGGCAGAGCAATTGTTGGGACTGTGGATCAGATCCCATCATGCCTTTAAGTGGACACAATCAGTGCACTACTCAAGTGATGGAACATTACTCGGTGTAAGAAAAAGTTTGCAATATCTGATCCCCATTGAAGACTAGTTTTGCATTCTCATTTGCTGTTTTTCTTATTAGTAAAGCATCCTGTGGGGGTACTTACGCCATGATGCCAGAGAGGTGAAACATTTCAGCCGTTATGTATGACAAGTAACTGTACAGGAAGACAAAGAGTGGCTCAATAACTCGGATTTTATGAGTGAAACGGGTAGTAAATGCTGCTACAAATCCCAGGAGGATTCCAATCAGCACTCCACCAATCCCCACTACAAAGAATTTAGCGATTCCAGCAAATACATCAATGGTCTCAATTGTGCGCATCTGGCAGAAAGACTTGAACAGATTGTACAGCACCTACGGAAAAAAGAAAGTGCATTACATCTCAGAATCCTTCAGCAGTTCCCTCAACAGCAGTCTGCCTACATTTTAATGTGGAACTTTATTTTTTGTCCCTGCTCTGAATTCAGTTTTGAAATCTACTAAATATTTAGTATTTCTCTCTTTAATGTTTGTTATCCATAGACTTCCAGACATTCTACAACGAACTTACAATATCTATTTGAACATAAGATTGCCCTGATTATAAGATGACATCACACTAATTAGATTCCATGTGAAAAATGTATATATTTGTTACAATTTTCCAGGTATAGAACCTAGTAATTGGAGGTTTGCCTTGAATTTGTCCCCCACCCGCTGCTACAACAGGAAAAATAAATCTGAGGGATCAGGTAGCCATTTGCTCTCTACTTCCCATCAACTTTTTCCCCTGGCAGTCTCTTCCTCCTCCCATTATTGTCTGGCCCTGTTCTTCCTGAGAAAAAAACCAAAAAAACCAAAAAACCCTTGAAATTAACCATGGCTCTAGCAATTTGCATATAGTGCCATAGACTTAGTTCATCCAGAATTGATGTATGTTACCTTTTTTTTTTTTTTTTTTTTTTTTTTTTAAATTTCTGCAAGTTTTAAAGACAGGTATTTCATAAACATAATTTTGAGCAGCACTTTGGCAATCTAATATAAACATATACAGATTTCATTTCAAAGGCCAAATCAGTTCTAGATTCAAAGTGGGCAAGGCCCAATAGTCAAGGTTAAAAATTTGACTGAACAGAGCTCAATCATCAAGTCTATATGGCTCTACCACTGGGCACGTACCCTCCCTCCCAGACCCACTGGTGTGGGGTTTTAGATACTCCCCCCAAATCCAGGTAGGCATCCTACCTACAAGCCCCAGTCCTGGAGGCCTTGGGGTTCAGATGTTCCCAGTCTTGCTTTATCTTAGCCAAAAGGCTAAGATTGTGGTTTTTCCTCCGCCAGGTAGACTATGCATGATATTAGTCCAAACCCAGAAGGCTCATGATCTACCACATAGTTTGCTGGGCTGGGCAAGTCACAACACTGCATACACAGAATCCTTCTGTCCTGCCCTCTCTCAACCTGGCATATATGATTAATATGGCCCCAACCTCCATGGTAACCTCACAACTCAGCACTGCACAGTAGGTGTGTATATTCCAGATACCCCAACAGAGGATCCATGTACTAATCAGCCCCCACTCATGACTCATGAGTTCTTGTCACAAGTCCTAGGATGCTCCAAAAATTTAAGTGCAGAGGGGGCGCAGGGCAACCTAGTACAGCTTCACCTCATGAAGGGTGAGGCCAACACTAATCATATGTGCCAGGCTAAGACAGGAGCTGATAGAGGGATTCTGGGTATGCAATGATGTGGCTCACCATGACTTGAAAAAGTTGACAGTGACGGGACTGTGCTTAATGGGAAATACCATGTAACTTAAGTAGATGGACTGCACCAACCTATTTTTATGGTAAATTCCCATCAGTATCTCAGCCTTTTTGACTAAGAGCAAATGCAGCATTTTTGGCACCAAGGAGAGGTTGTCAGGACTGACTCTGCTGTGGCCCTCCCAATTCTGGTATTTCAGTACCTCCAGGACCAGTGCCAGTTTCCTGTGGAGGAAACACCAGCCTGTTTCTTTTTTTAAGGGCCACAAAAAAGGTTCCTATCAGCATCTCGGCCTTTTGGCCAAGACCAAGCATTTCTGGCATGAAGAGGAGGGTGTCAGGGGTAACTTTGGCCCTGGTATTGCAGCATCTCCAGACCTGGTGCCAGTTCCCTGTCGAGGGAACACCAAACCCATTTTTTTTTGTTAAGTGCCATAAAAAAGGGTTCCCATCAGCATGTCTGCCCAATGGGGCCCATGTGTTTTAGTCATGCTCAGTGTTGGCTGTATTTAATCAACTTAGTAGTTGGTTCTAATTGCTGAGCATATACTGGTTTTGGCAGCAGTTTAATGATAGACAATGTAATTATAAAGAAATCTTACTACGTGATTATGAGTGTTTTTTTCCCCCATGCCAATGGGGGGAGGGGGGACACCTCATCTTGGAATTGAGTAAATACAGTAAATATGCGCATTTCTCTTTTGATGATAGAGTCACTGAGTATTTACTTTTCCAATACACATGTGCATTAAGATGACAAATGAAATACCTCTTTGGTTGTTAGCTGATACTATGTCAGCTTTTACTCATTTCACATGTTGGTGCTGGTTGTATGATAATGACTCATTAATTTCTGACAACATTAAATGGAAAACATATATCTTTTTTCCCAAGGTCCCAAACTAATGGTATTTTTATAAAAGTTGAATATTAAAATGTTAAATTTATATTTGTGCTTTTTATGCTTTCCTAATCAGGTCCCCATTCCAGTTTTATACAGGATGAAGAACGGTATATGGTATGGATTACATTTCAGTAACATTCAATATTCCAGCTACTCTAAAAGACACAAGATTCATAGAATGAAATTGTCTACACTTACAACACAATTTGAAGGCCACCCACACATGCTATAAAATCTAGATAGTTCACAAATTCTGAAAGCTGAACCAATAATGTTCACAATAAGTTGCAACCTCAGCAGCACACCATGTAGTCAATATGGAACTTTTACACAGAAGTTTTTTATTCCTCTCTCTAAATTTTTTATTAAACTGAATAAGGTTTCTACATGAGCAATGCTATTTTCATATGGGTATCTTACCTGTATTTGTATTGCACTAACAATTTAGCTGCTTGGTCTGTGACTAGCTCAGATTTGCCAGGATTGCATGCTGGTTTATATTTACTCAAGGACCATAAGATTTGGCCTATTGTTTGATTAAGGATCCATCTGGCCAAATGAAAGAGAAGAACTGAATAACAGAATTAAAAAATATATAACAACAAGTGAAAAAATGGCTACATTGAGTCTAAACTTGGCTGTGACATTGTTAAAATTTCTTTACAGAAATGCTGAGTCAAGAAGTAGTAACAAATTGCATAAACAATGACCCTTTTGCTAAAATAAAACACACCAGGATAGCTGTAGATGTCTTCAACTGTGCAATCCCATCTACTATCCACATAAATAAAGACCCAATGGTTACACCACTTCCTTGCTCCTGTTTCTATATTAGTATATTCTGTGCAGTAGAGTAGACAGAGATGCCACATGCTATTGCTCCAGAGCAAGCAAGAAGAGCAGTTTAGACCCCTGCATGGCTTCTTTACATGTTAAAACCCTACTTCTGCAGCACTTACACAGAACTCAAAATGTGGCTCATTGTTTTTATCAGTGAAGGAGATGTCTTTAAATTAAAGTTAAAGGCGCCTTTTATATTTTCAAAGCCTATAAAAAAATTATATTGGGCACATAATTGAGACATGATGCCCTGAGGGCCACTGATATAAACCCATAGAGAAACATATGTTTTTGACCTACTCAACTCATTATGAACATGAAGCAATCCCCTACCAATATGTACATTTTCCAATAACACAACCCCCTAACATTACAGAAAAACCTGCACCCTACAAATTGTTAGAATGGATTCAGTTTCTTTTGACACAGTCCCAGTACAGAATTCTCAACAAGTCTTTGCCTTATTATCATAAATGCTTTGCATTAACACCACAATGTTCTCCTCTGTAACAAGGATCAAATTGCATGTTGCCATGCTATAAACAATGCCTAGGGCTGCACTGGCCCTGATCTTAACCTTATATAAAAGACTTCATTTACACCAGAGGCAGATCCAGAAGGGGTGTAGTGGCACAGACACAACCCACCTTTTGGTTCTGATACACATAAGCTCTTACCACAGGGTGCATCTGGATCCCTGCCTTCACATAGTGAAGTGTTGCAGCTTCCGCTCATCCCCTCCTTTCCCCAGCTGCTGAATTTGGCAGGAATGGGGAGAGGGAAAGGGAAAACAGCAGCATCATTTGCCCCCTGGACTCTGGAGCCATGCAACAGCAGGGGTGACCAGACCCTGCCCTGGTCAGCTGGTGAGCTCAGAGCACCCTGCTCATGCAGTGCTCTGGTAGGAGCCTCCGCTGACCAGGCACTGCTCTCAGAGCTCACTGTACATGCATGGCACAGCCAAAATGGAGTAGTCACATGGCTTAAGACAGTGGTTATCAACTTGTGCTCTACAGACCCCCAGGGGTCTGTAAACTATGCCTATGGGGCCTACAAAAGATGACTATGATCAATCACAAGTATGTGACTACCCACACTTACAATTTAAAGGGTGGTCAGCCACCTCCATTCAAAATGTCCAAATGGGGTCTGCAAATGAAAAAGGGTTGAAAACCACTGGCTTAAATCCTTCTTCTGGAATTTACTGGGAAGCACCTTAGTTGCACAGTGATGAAAGCAGAGCATTCTTGTCAAGACCAAAGCTGTAGTGTCTGGGCTGGTGGGAAGGCAAGCAATATTCTATCTTTTAAAAGAAGCTGGTTAACTTGTTGTATTAGGTGGGGGTGGGTGGGGGGTGGGAAACGCATGGCTGAATTTCATGAATACATTCGTTAAGGACAGTGAGGCAGCGGCAAGTAGAGTGAGCAGCAATGAACTAATTGGCATTTTATGCCATTTATTAAAAGATATGATGGATTGTTCCTTGCTTCTGAAACAATTGTTGTTAGTGGAGTTCATTTAGATGGTAAGAGACTACATCAGACAACATATTTTCAGCCACTATTCTATAGAGCTCCTCACTCACTTTTTAGATTCTTGACATTCCACCTCCCTATCAAATGCCAGCAGTCAACAGTCATTTTTGGTCCCATCTGGGAGCATAACTACAGGGGCTGGATGAGCTTGACTACCCTTCACAACTCCCTTTGCTGGTAATTTGGTTAAGGAATGGTATCCTGGAAGACAGCAAAAATATGTTTTACTTTATGGTGGAGACTGTGGGAGGCAAGAGGCTTGAAAGTATATTGGCTCAACCAAACAGTGAGAGATCATACTGCTAAATGCCCACAATACTTCTCTGTTCTACCAAAGTCTGCTAGTACAACACAAAATTCAATCACCTGCATTATTTTTCAAGTAAAAAAAAAAAAATGAAAAATTTTGATAGGCAGAATTACAACACCAGCCATGACTGGACTGATGTTAAATTGTGGTAGTTATTAGGTTTTCTGTTAATCAGTTACGAATCTTCTAAAACTACCTATGAAATGGGACTAAACTGAATATCAACTTCCATTACCTGACCAAACAGCCATAAAGGTGAATGCATGATCAACACATCTGCTGAAATGAGTCCAACAGAATCCAGGAAGTGTGCCCCAAACAGGACAAAATATCAGTGATTTACTCATCTCTTTAAAAGCAAAACAGCAATTACAAAATCTGCATGGAAGACATGCATTATGGAAACAGAACTGTCAGTCCACTGTAGATACAAAATGCTGGTTGGGAGTAAGCATCACCACTTTGATCAAAGAACAAATACTAGACATACAGCGAGAAGGCTTCTTATCAGTTTTTGTTGTTCATCCTTCAAATTCAAAGATGACCATGATATCTGGCTGGTTTGGTTTCAGTGAACACGCAAATGGTTGATCAGGCCAATTTGTGCTTTGAATTGTCTATGGCACACAGAGCAAGAAATGCCACTTTGGGTTGTTTGATCAACAGCGGATGTGCTGCTGTTGCGAGATTTACGTGTTTGTGCTTCTGCTCGGCCTCAGCATTTCTGAGACAGAGATGGTAGCTCCAATATGGATGAGGCTTTGCCAGGTGGCATAATCATGAGCAAGATCTTCCCAAGACTTTGGGACAATGTTGAAATGTATCAAGGATGACTCAAGGGAGTCCTTGAAGCATTTCTTCTGGCCACCCTGAGGGCACTTTCCCTCCTTTAGTTCACTATAAAAGATCTTTGGCAGTTGCTCATCTGACAGCCTGGTGATATGGCCTGCCCATCTCATCTGTGATTTCATCAACAGTGTGAGGATGCTTGCAATGCCTGCCTGTGTAAGAACCTCAGTGTCTGGGACCTTATTAGCATAAAGACCTCAACAACAATTTAAAATTCAAATAATCATTTCACATTTGTTTTTGCAGTACCATGCTGCAATATAGACTACTACCGGGGGGATAGAGATAGATCAGGCATAAGCTAACCAGAAAAAGAAGGTTCTGAGACAAGTTTTAAAAAATAGACGCGATTCAGTAGCTTGACTGGGGGCAGAATCAGGTAAATTGTCAGGTGTTAAGTGGAAAACCAATTGGAGAATCATAGGAAGGAAAGGAAAATGTGGCCGATACTGAAGGACCATATTGAGCAGCATGAAATCAGGGAGGTAGATTAAAGAATGTCCTTGAAAGTCTAAAAACTTTGAGGACCATTCTGCATTAAGAGATGAACAAAACAAAAAAAACCCCAAACAAACAAAAAATCAATGATGAAGGAAAGCTCTATAGTCCTTTCTTGAAATTCTGTGGCCCTTAAAATATAAAGAACTGGAATTACTGATCACAAGATAGGTTATTACAGGAACCATGACAGAAGGCAATTAATGCATGGGTAAGAATTTTACGTTAGGCAACAATGTCTGATGATATTTCAGATATGATGAAAACAGGTTTGCACAAAGATAGTGGATGGCTCAGGAAAATGCTAAACCATCTTTGCCTGGTTTCATCATTAGGTGAACATCCGAATCCAGGCTCAGCTAGTTAGTGATCAAAAGTACTATCTGATGGCTGGTTGGCAGCCTATGCTAAATAACTTGGTGACCTTAGTGCATATGTTATTGGACAGGGGCCCACATCAAATACACATTAATAAGAACCCAAGTTTGTGGTCTTTATTTGATTTGTACACTTTCTGAGGTATGCCACGGAATCCATGCTGGGAACAACACACATTTCTGCATCGGAGGAAATCTTATAAATTATGCTTAGGAGTCCAAAGATACTCTAAAGACTGAAGATTTTGGATAGTGAAATTATTGGAATAATGTGCCATCATTACTCATTATCTAGGAATTCTTGCCTCAAAAGAGAATCCAGTAAATACAATGCAACTCCCTAGTTTTGGTTTTCAGTAAACTGTGACAACCAGCCAGAAAAAAAAATATGGCACAATAGTATTCAGTCAAGTACTCGATAAAATGAAGGTTTGTAAAAGTAACTTACCACTGTTACAGCATCGTTCAACAGAGACTCTCCAAACACTAGGATGTAAAGCTGTTCATTGACATGAATATTTTCAAAAACAGCCAGCACTGCCACAGGATCCACAGCTGAAATTAAGCTGCCAAAAAGCAAACACTGCAGCAATGTGATATCAGTCAAGCCAAATACTTGAATCTGGCAAATTCCAAAGAGGGAAACCCCAATCCCGATAGCATTCCAGAGTGTGCCCACTACAGCATACAAGATTATAGTGCCAAAGTTCTCAAAGAAAAGACGAGTTGGCATAAAATATCCTGCGTCGAGTACAATTGGAGGAAGGAGATACAAAAAGAAAACATCACTCTTCATTGCAGGTGGGGACTTTTCCTCTGCTCCAAAAATAATTCCACCCAGCAGTAGTCCAACCAGAATAAGCAGGCAACTTTCAGGTACTACCGAGGGCAACTTGTGATAGAGATGAAAGCCTTCAAGGGGAAGTCAAACAAAAGAAAATGAAAAAAGTATTTCTGTGGAATCCAAAAACTATCTTCATTTCTGTTATCTTAGTCTTTACATCAAAAAAACAGGAATCACAAAGTAACTTTGGGTGTCTTTACATGTGCTCCAGTATACCTATATCTATTATTAATTTCAATATACCCCTATATTTTTAATCAGATACTATTTTTCTTCATTTTTTATGATGAATAAAAAATAGTACATCATAATGCAATAGATGTAGACAAAAACATTTTCAATAACCTTTTCAACAATTCTTCATGGTTTTTTCAGGGTTTTTTTAATTAATTAAATTGTCGTGCAAATTGAAATATTTGATAATGGCAATAATTTAAAACAACTGTTTTTAAAAAAAAAAAAAGGCCTGATTTTCAAAAGGAATATTGTTTAAGGAAGTTTGAGAAGCTCCAACAGAAAAGAGTTTTTAAAACAATAAGAATGACAGTCAGGCTGTGGTATTCTTCTCCACCAGAGCTATTACACAGCAAAATCATTCCCTTAGTTCCTCAAAGCTTGCTGGCTTTCATCCAAGCCACTAAGGCAAATGGAAAGGCTTTGGGTCAGATTGCTTATGAGATTAGGGAGAGTAAGAACTCCCAGCATACCTCCAACTCCATGGCACACAAGATATATCCTGGATAGAAGAATGCAGTGCGAGTGTCATATCTAAGGGCCCAAAAGGAGGTTATATACAGTTTAGAGTCCATCATTATTTTAGCAGCGCAACACCGTAAAACCACCATGCAGGATAAATAATAAGACCAGAGAACAACAGCCACTCGTAACAACCCTCTCATGTCTAAAAACTGTTTTCAGTTCACATTTAAATGAAAAAATTTTGTAATGGTTTTGACTGTATTTCCCCAAAGTGTCTAATTCTTGTTTAAAAGTTTCAGATGCCCAATTCTGTACATTCTCTCTCTCTCTGTTAACCTGCCCTGCAGAAGCCAACCAAGACTTCAAAAACTTTGTAGATACAAACTTTACTGAGATCAATGTGATTCTGTGAAATAACTCAAAACAAACCGTCTTACTGAAGCTGAAAATGCCTTTATTTAAAAGATGTTCCAGCCAACTCTAGTAAAAATATTTACAGTAGCTTAATAAGCTTGGCCTCTAGGTTAATGAAAGATTGTTCATGCACAATGAGAGGTATTATTTAAATTTGTTCATATCTTATGAGCTTGAGCTATTATTGCAAGTTACTTAGTCCATAAAAGGACTAAGGTGTGGTAATGCTGTGTTGCCACACCTAACTTTGAGGTGCCCAGTTCCGAAGTACAATTCACAATGCTAGGTTAGGCACCTAAATTCCCTATGCAATGAACAAGGAAATCTAGCCACTGCAGAACAGAATTTACAGCAGCAAGCAAGCTAAGCAAAGAATCACTTATAAGAAGTGGGCATATCTGAAACCCTGCCTCAGTTTGCAGATTTAAGCACCTAACTCAAGAGATACTGGGATTCAGACCTAAACCTCTTTCTGCCTACACTTAAAGGTCTAAATTGTTCCTGGGGGAAAAAAAAGGAACATCATACTGGGTGCATCTACACGTGCACTTTACTGCAGTTGGCTAATTGCAGAGTCAACTGCAGTTGACTACTATATGAATAGAAGCATCTCTTGAAAATACAGAGAAGCAATTCTCCTAGTCTATTCAACACTGGTGAGGCCTAACCTGGAATACTGTGCCCAGTTTTGGCCATCACACTTCAAGAAAAATGTCAAGAAATTAGAAAGAGTCCAGTAGGGAGCAACAAAAATGATCAGAGGCCAGGGAAGCAAGACGTATGAGGAAAGGTTGAAAGAAGTAGGGTTAATTTGGTCTGGAGAAAAGAAAACTCATTAGATAATTAATACATCTTCAAATTACTAAAGGGTAGCTATATGAAAGATGGAGATAAACTATTTTTTGCAGCCATGAGGAACAGGACAAGCAATGCTCTTTAATGGCAGCAGGAGAAATTTAAGTTGGATATTAGGAAGAACTTTCTCACTGAGAGTGGTTAAGCAAGCTACTGAAAGAGATGGTGGGATCTCCATCCTTGAAAGCTTTAAGGGGCAGGTTAGACAAACACTTGACTTGGTTTAGTCAGGGATGGTCCTGCTTCGAGCAGGGTCATAGAGGAGTAGACTAGGTGACCTCCTGAGGTCCCTTCCAATCCTATTATTGTATGATTCCTGGGCAAGTGCTTTAACCACCTAGTTATGCTATACAACGTAAGTACCACTGTAGCTTCTGTCTCCTCCAGCCATGTTTTCATAGAGTGCCTGAACCAATCATATGTACCCAAAGGGACAACTTAGGCACTTAAGTGCCAGAAGAAGGGAGTTTGGGGGCTATGAATCACATAGACACCTTTTTGGTGCTCTCCTGAAGTGATTACAGCCACAATAATTTGCACCTGCTGAGAATGTGGCCAACTGATTTCAAGAAAACAATCCATACGCCATATAATAAGCACATACAGTGGTGTTTGCAGAAACAGGACTGTATGGTTTCTACTCAAAATTTGGCTTTATATATTTCAATTTCAAAAGTGGAATGATAAGGTTTTACAAGTGATGATTACATACTGAGTTAAATTAGTTATTTAAATAAATGTGTTCATAATTTTCATTGATGTGTGATGCAAAAAATCAGGCACTTCAAGTCAAAACCTAGTAATTGCATATTTTCTCTTCTATTTCTAAAGTTTTGTTCCAAGGCTAAGATCATCATCATCAAGAACTACTCATAAACCTAAGCAGCTAAATATATGCCTTGGCTTACAGAACATCTTACTGCTTTTACACAGCATGTCAATAACCTGTGTTTTCCAAATCATTACATTGCCAGATTCAGTTTTATTTTAGCAAGTCATAAAAATTTAATTTAAAAATAAAAATACAACTTCCTGGTATACAGAAGAGAGTGACGCTATCCAATACAAATTTTTCCCACACGAAAGAATGTCATTTCTAACTCACTCAAGGCTGTATTTCTATGGACTATTCCCAGGATGTAGGTAAGCACTGGAAAAATACTGTAGTCAAACATTTTCATTTGTTTTCCATCAGTCCCTTGCCACAATTTTTTCTTGGGTGCATTTTTTTAATAAAGAAGGTAAACTGTCTGCCAGGTATAGTTATTTTAAGCCAGGGGTACCCAACCTGTAGCATGGGTACCACAAGTGGTATGGGTAGCCTCCATGTGGCATACAGCAGATTGGGGAGGGGACTGGCAGCACAGTGGTAGATAGGCCAGGGAGCAGAAAGCAGAGCATCAGATCAGGCAGGGAGCACAGGGCAGGGAGCAGAAACCCAAGCAGCCGATCAGTTAAGGGGAAGGAATCAGAGTGGCACTCAGGCAGGGTATGACGTTTGTCCCCAAAACAGGTTTGTCCCCCACTGTTTTAAGCCATGGAACTGAGCATGTAAAATTCATACAGCAGTACATATAAATGTGAATGCAGGGAAACAAAGCTGAAGGGATGCATGCCATTTGTACGTTAACACACATGGATGAATGAAATTCTTGTTTTTTCAGTGCTGTTCTTCTTATTTTGTAATCAAATAATTTAAAGTGTATATCTCCTTTAACTATTCTTGGCACAATTTCTAATGATAAAGAAATCTTTCCATTCTTACCACTTTGCTTCAAGTAACCCAAATTCTCTGCTAGCCAACAGGCATGCAAAAACATCAAATTACCCGCCAATAAGCAGTAAAAGACAATCCCTCCAGTGCTTGTTTTTCAGGGACTCTTCGAAGAGTTATCCTTTATCCAAGCAGCTTTCACTGTACCCATCACAGTGAAAATACACTCTGCAATGGCTTGTGTCTCACTGAATAAAGCAACAGGGTGCAAAATGAGACCAGGACAGAGCAAAAGCAAATCACCCTGGGGTTCATATCCAACTGGGTATTGGCCAAATGAGCCATCAGAGGCACAATATGCAGCAATATAGATTTTTTTCCCACCCTTTATGAGAAGACAATTGCTTAGGAGCTTCACTGTCTCTTCCTGCTCGGCAGGCAGAGCCAAACACAAAGCAGAACTCCTGAATGAGGGGCCACTTGGTAGATTCTCCTTCACAACAGACTGGGGGGCGAGAGGAGACAGGGCAGCTGTACTGCCAGGTTTTAACAGTGGAAGAAAAAGGTAGAGAGGGAATTAGCCCATTTAGTCTGAAGTCAGTCAGAAGGCAGTGTAGAGATGCACTAAGTACATAATATGGAAAGGTGGATAGATAATTTAATTAGGGGTTTGCTTTCAGGAAAGTTTGTGCTATCTATATCTCTGCTATTGCATTCTAACAGCTACACTCTGCTCTAGGCTGTCCATTCACAGAGAGTGAAGAGAAGACATGCACCTTTATAGACTAACTAATATAGGTAGGTAGGGAAATAGATAATTTAGTTCATGGCTTGCTTTCAAGAAAACTGGTCCCATCCTTCCATCCAATTGCATTCTAAATCACTGCACCCTACTCTAGGCTGCCCTTTTACTGCAAGTGAAGTGAAGATGCACATGTTTATTAGACTAAATAATATAGATGGGTAGGTAAGCAAAGCAAGAAAAGCAAGTGCTATATAGATATAGATATATCTATCTATAGATATAGATATATCTATCTACCTATCTATATGAGTGCTTTCTTTCCTGAAAGTAAGTCACTACATTATCTAACTATTTATCTACCAACTATCTAAGTATCTGCATTATTTAGTTAGTCTATAAAGATTCAGCTCTTCATGTTACTTTCTGTGAAAGGACTGCCTAGAGTGCAGCAATTAGAATGCAACAAGGCTGATACATATACATATACAGACAGACATATATACTGTAGTTAGATACAGCTATTATAACTAGTTAGATATAGCTATGTTATACTTTGATACAGCTATACATACGTAGTTATAGAGTTACAAAGAAGTAGCACAAACTTTCCTGGAAGCAAGCCACCAACTAAATTACCTACC